GTTCTTTTGGTGTAATTAACCTCTGATTCTCTTAGGAAGTTATGTAACCCCAGTCTGAGGTTAATTTAAGACATCCTCCTGCCAATTAGCATTTTTTTTTTTTTGAAATTTGCTACAGGGCGTGTATGGTCTCTGGAGAGAAACACACAGAGAAGACAGAGAAAGCACTCCCTAGGGGGAATGACCACACCTTAAGCCCTTCTCCACTCCTCTTGGGATTTTGAGCGTGCGTGTGCGCACATGTGCACGCACACAAACACACACCCACACACGTGTGTGTGTATTGCCTACATTTATCCTTTTTAGCCTCCTTAGCTAGAATTCTCAGCCTCCCACCTCAGACTCCCTTGTTCCCTGTGTAGCCCAGACTTCTCCTTGGCAGTATTGTGTATCTTCAGTACCTTGCCAGCTCAAACACAGAATCATTCTGTTGTTACTGGACAGTCCAGATAATTTCAAATCCAAAACAATATTATGTTTAAAAAGTCCTGTTGGTCTTCGTTTGTATATGTAATCAAGAGATCACTGTACAAAGAATGTCATTTTGTTTTCCATAGCTTTAAGCTGGATTACAAATACCATAAGGAGACTGAGGTACTGGTTATTATGTTAGTTCGCTGCTATAACAGAGACACAGATTAGTACTGGCTTTAATCAGAGAAGCTTTTGCCTGTGAGAAGTTCAGGAAGCAGTTTGAGGCTGGTGTGGTTCCACCATGGTCTTGGTCCTGGTCTGCCTTGCTGGGCCAGTCCACCATAGAGGCCATCTGTTTTGTGGTGCAAGCTGGCTACTCATCATACAGCCTTTGGAAGGGAGAAAAGGAGCAAGTTGTATCCATCTTTTTGTTTCCTTTTTGTCTTCCAAACTTTTTGTTTTGAAACATTTTTTTAAACCTATAGAAAATTAGAGGAAGAGTATGGTACTTAATTACATAATTATCAGTTCTCTTTTTGAAAGAATTATTTTTATTAAATTTGCTATAGGACACATGTACTCACCAGAGAAAGACAGAGAGAGAAGGTGCTAAAGTAAGTCACCAGGTTGAGGACTTGAACTGCGGTCAGCCATGTGGGACTCAAGTGCCTTAACCACTATGCCACTTGCTAGCCCCTAATCATCAGTTCTTAACTTTCTGCCATATCTGATCTCATTCCCTCTCCCCTTCTCTCCTTTTTCCTCTTCTCCCTCCCTATCTCTCCTTATATATGGGTATATGCTAGATGTTGTTTGAGGGGTAACAATACTACATATATGATACATTCTTGCCTTGCCCTTTTGAAGGCAGTGTCTGGAAGTTACAAACTTTCTCACATACTATAGGTCAAAAATTAGTCACAGGGGCCAGCAGGTAGCTGGTGGGTAAGGGCACTGGGTTCCCTTATGACCAACCGTGGTTTGGGTCCCGGACCTGGTGGCTTGCTTTCTCTTTCTCTCTCTCTCTCTCTCGTCAAATTAAAATAAATAAATAAGTAAAATAAAGTTCAATAAAATAATTCTTAAAAAAAATAAAAACCTGATCACACGTCTATACTGAGCTACAAGGGAGGATGGGGAATCTTTATTTGGTATGATAATATGCCTAGCTAAAATTCAAAAGGTTATATTAGGAGGAGAAAGGAAGAATGGATATTGGGAGGTAACAAGCATTTATTGCCTTTTGTTTTGTTTTGTTTTCATTTTTAATATAGGGCACGTGTACTTGCCAGTGAGAGAGAAAGTGAGAACTCACCCCCTGGTGGATGCCGTGCTGCCATCTCTTCTCCTCCATTCTCCTCTCGGGATTTTGGGCATCATACACACACCTGTTATGAATTTTAAGCTTCCAGGTCTAGGACTCGAAATACAGTTGACTGTGTGGGCATCCAGCCACGTAACCATTACGCCATCTGCTGGTCCCCGCTCCTTTTTTTTGAGGTATTTATCATAGGGAGCATGCACTGCCCGAGAGACAGTGAGAAGGAAAGTGAGAAGTCATCCCACGGGGGAATGGCCACGCTGCAATACCTTCTCCTCCATTCTTTTGGAGTTTTAGGCACACATGTACATATATCTGGTGGAATTTTTCAGGCCACCTGGTCTGAGACCTGAACCATTGTCAGCCATATTGGAGTCCAGTACCTTAACCACCTCGACACCTACTGGCCCCAGCATTTATTGTCTTGTCTGAGAGTAATTTTAATTTTATATAATCAAAGATTTATTTTGATAGATTTCTTTTTAAATTTATTTTACCTATCATTATTATTATTGTTATTCAGCTTGACCAGGGAGAGACACATAGAGAGACAGAGGGAGAGAAAGCAAGCTACCAGATCCGGGACTCAAACCATGGTCAGCCATGTGGGAGTCCAGCTTCTTGTCCACAATGCCACATGCCAACCCCTATTTTGGTAGATTTCTAAGCTTGGGTTTTACAATAGAAATAAAGAATTATGACCTGTTTTACCCAGAATATGGAATTATGTTAATGCTTAGTGAAGATGAAGCAAAATGTTTAAATTTTTTTAATGACCAGAATTTCATCTGTTTGAATTCTTTTGTGTTTCTCAAGCATTTTTGACCATAAGACTCACCTGGGTCATTTGTTACGTGTGAGGATTCTGGGGTTTCATCCCACATCTGCTGAAC